TTTTTGTGCATGTCTTTGACCACCAGCAGCACAGGGCTGTCCACCTCAGCCATGTTCCTGTACAGAGTCTTCAGGCTGCTCCCATGGACGGCTGTGCTGTAGACCAGCTGCCATTGATAACCCCGGGTCCTTGCTGGCATTTGAGCAGCAAGCTGTTTGACAAAGAGTTGCTCATCAGATTATGTCCTGACAGACTAATAATAATTTTCTCAATACCTTCAGAGAAAAACCTCTGATGATTGTGATCTGCACCAAATGTCCAGCTAGTTTAATGTGAAGGTTAGTTTTACTAACTTTTTCCAGGTGGTGGTCATCTAGCAGAAGGCTGTGGTCGCTGAGGACAGGGAGAACATCGTGGTAACTGAGTTCTTCTGCCTCAGAGTCGTCTGAGCTGCACAGACTCTGGCGGCGTTTGGAGTCTTTCACAGTGATGATCTGTAAGGCAAGCAGAAAATTGCAAAGATATATTCATTGTCATCAAACAAATTCGCTCCCTGCTTACTGTCACAGTAATACTCACTGCTGTCGCATTTTTGTTACTCGAGAAAAGTTTAGGGGCCTTGCATATTAAAAAGTTTTGATTTATTTAAAACTGAGCACAAGTACCACAATAACTGAACTACTGGATGACAACAAAGCAGCAAAGTATGGTGACAGAAAAACATTTGAACCTCCACAGTAACTTCACTGCACTTCCTAACATGAATACATTCAGCAGAGTAATCTTACCTCAACATAAGGCTCCATACAGTCACTGGCAATGTAAAGCACCTTAATATTTTCTGGTAGGTGCTTCATAGCTCCTGATTTCCCTGTCAAGCGCTGCTTTCTGCTGTACCACATGTCTGCTAACCAAACTGCCATCCAGCAGCTCTTTTATATACACTGAGTTACTTTCCCTTTCAATGTCTGAAGTGTTATTGGTTGGAAATCTTAGCAGACGTTTGCACATTGGTCAACTCTGACAGTGAACAGTTTCTTTTCTCACTAAACAGGAAAACAAAATCTGGGTTAGGTTTGTAGAAGGAAACAGGATGTCCATATATAGACAGAGGGCATTCCCACAGCCTCACTTTTAACTTTTAACAATAACTGCCAACAAATTTGTCAGGCCACCACTCATTATAAGGTTTATGCCACAGCCGCACTAAATTAACAGTATTGGTAATTAACAAAATCATGTTTTATGTTTCTGTAATTGTTAACCTACCAGTATGTGCAAATGAATAATACATAATATGAGTATTATGTATATTTTTTAGAGCTAAAGTATAACTATCCATGAATATTCAAACTAAAAAGTATTTGGGTTTTTTTGTTTTAATGAAAGGTGGTTTAAAAACATTTTTAAGCACCGTAAGAACACCTGAGCATCAGAGAGCTGATTCTTGGAGTGTTCTGTGTGTGCTTAACCTTCGAGATATAATAATGTGTGTTTTTGTGTATATCTTACCTCCCACTTTTTAGCAGCAGTGTTGATGGGCTTGCTGAGGATCTTATTGATCGCTGCGATGTCCTTCTCCACAACCAGAATGTGGTTCTGATTTTTGTCTTTGATGACGTAATGCGGTTTCCACTGGTTCTTGTCGCCTTTGTGGCAGACCTCTGGTGACCACTGCGCAAAGAATGTGTAGAGGTGGTCAACCCTGTAAAAAAAATTATAAAATTTAAGGGGGTTTTTAGGTTACCAGTATACTTATATAGCTGTAGATGGTTGACTTCTTATACCTTAGATAAAGAGTTTAAAGGGTTCCTGAGATCAAGTAAAATGCTAAGAAGCACAATGACATGGCAATATCAGAAAACTAAAGAGTTACTCATACTGAATAACAACACAGGCTACATTTTCTCCATTTTCCATAGAAGTTACAATATAATAACAACTATAAAAGAAAAGCCTCTGCAATCTAAGATGTACCTGGAAATAAACTGCAACAGTTATACTTGTTTTAACCTTTTTGAGCAATTATCATCTTTGAGTTAATCCTGGAACATGTGTGGGAATGAGAAATCACTATTTCCATCTGTCCATGTTGGAGTCTGCTTTGTCTACAGTTTCAATCAGACATGACTGACAGTTCAGAAATCCCCTCTAGTCTCTTCCATCCCTCTCTGGTTTACCATGCCAGACTCTTTGCTGCAAGCCAGCAAACTCTTGAAAGGAAATCTCAGTGACTCAATGACTAAGACTGCTTCCTTTGGTTCAACGTATGTCACAATGTACGCATCCAACATAAAAAAACACTCATTTCAACATTTTCACATGACAGTTTCTTTTTGCATGCACTTGAAATCTGACGTGCAATCAAAATCTTTTACGTTTCTGCAGTTTTAAGTGCACGTTTACTTCTTTGAATTACCTGAAACAAACTAAAGCTTTGTCTGATTCAAATGCAGTTAGCACCACCATAATCACCCAGCACCCAGCATAACAATGCTCATAGATATACTGATTTGTTCTACTTACTCTCCAACGCTATATGCAACTCCCATGGCTGAATGGAGATGAATGTCCCGATAAAAATCTCTTAAAGAAGCAGTCAGGACTCTCAGCGCTGATGAAGCATTTGAACTTGAGTCTCTGCCATTCCCGCTTTTTATATGAGCAGGACAACTGCTGAATCAAGCTTCAGTGAACATTAACCCTCCCACTCCCTCTTCACACAGCTTACACGGGCTGCACGTATTCATGCAGGGATTACACAACAGCGCCTGAAAGCCAAAGCTAGTGATACATTAGCTTGACCTGCTCTGCAGCTCTACCATTAAGGTTAGCAGGAGCACAGCTGAATTCTGTGTCAAAGCTAAGATGTGGATGAGTGGTGAATGACACCACTGTTGCACTTTTCAGTCCAGTACATTCATCTTACAGCTACACTTCATGAGAGCTCCAGAACACTAAAATGAATCATGCATAGCAAAGTTAACACCAGATACTGAAAAGCTCCTTATGTGTAAATGCATCACTAAAACAGTGAAATTATATATAAGATATTATATATAAAAAATTATATATAAGAATATGACAGTGGACAAGGACTTTCTTGCAGCTGGCTCGCTCAGGTTTCCTTTGAACGATATAAAAGGGGAAATGGTCAACGGCTTGGCATCAAATCAGGAAGGATGAGGCAATAAAGGAAGGTGGTCTGTAGAAAACACCCAGTTAGAACAGAGTTATTGGGTTTACGCTACCTCAGTACATTTTTATATTGAATGACTTGATGATTGCAATGACATCTGCCTGCACCTATGATTTTTTATCTTATCCTTCCCATTTCTTATAAGATTGTTATAAAGTCTTAACAAAAAGGACCTCAACTGTAGTATTGACCATTTAGAAAAGATGAGTTTTCAGTGCTAACCATTTAGATTAACAAACAAATGTTTCAAGGGCCCCAAATGATCTGAACACGCTGAGCTGTTGATTCAGTAATCCAATTTGTTCAGAGCTGAGTTGAGCTTGTACTTTCCAAATAACTTCACTTTCTTGACCAGATTTTTCCACAATTTTCTTCAGCAATAATGACATAGGTTTATTCATGTTCAGCCAAAGAGGTCAGAAGATTACAATGGGTACATTCTGGGGTCAGCAATCAGCCTTGATATTCTTACACAAAACCAATAGAACGAAAAAGATAAAAATTCAGACAGTGTCCACTGTGACACAGTGACAGGATTGATTAGTAAACACAGATCATTAAACATAGATTTACCCGGACAGATATGAGTATATACACGTGCAAACAAGCAGATGCATGCACTTATTGTCAAAAACACACAACTGATGCATTCTTCAGTCAGCAATATCAGCTTGACACGCGTGCACACACCTGCAGGAACACGCCTACCTCCTTGTTATAATCGACTCAAAGAGGACCTACTTGGATTTATTTTTAATGTGAGATTCATAATGTTCCCGATGATGCTGACATCGTGCTTTAAATGTAGTTATCCTGTGCTGACTGAAACGTGCATGTTTACAGCAGTTAACGTGCAAGAAACTAGTCTTGCACAGTGGGATAATGGAGTGACAGGGTTCATCACAGTTGAAAACAGCTGTCCGTGTGCACAGGCCATCCTGAGATCCTAAAAAGATTTTCAGATTTTCAGATGAAAGAACACGTTGCTCTTAGCAATACTGTCTAGAACATTTCTTGCTCCACCTCTTCTTCAACCCTGTCTGTTCCCTGCACGACTCCAGCCAGACATACAAAAAACCACAAAAGAAATCCTACTGAGTCCACATCACACACATGCACACGCAGCCTCACACACAAGAACACAAATACCATAAAACATCCATGCACGCATGCACGTACGAACTATTTCCTCAATCCTGCAAGAGGAGTGTAGGATTTAAATGTATGTATGTAATTTAAATTTGTATAAGCTGTAGATGTTTTTTTGTTTTTTGGCGACGACTAGGCGACAAAAAAGTTGTATGAGTCGGTGGAGGGGGAGGGGGCCCTCCGTGTTCTGGTTACCAGCACCGACCTTTGCAGTGAGCAGCTTCGGTTACGTGCAGCCCGAGTTTTTCACCCGCGCTGAGGACAAAAGAAAAGAAAAACTTATTGAAGTTCGATAAACACACCTATGTGCATCTCCGATAGTTCCTTCACAATAAAAGCATCAAGCTGGATCACCATTTCAAAGCTTTTAACTTGAAGTAAGAAACGCCGGAAATGTCTCGTTTGCATTCACAACAGCGCTGAGACGTAAACAGTCCTTCACAGCGAAATGTCTTGAAGGTACAAAGACGGGAGGAGACAGACGGGAGTTTGTGGCAAAACACTGGCACGTGCTGACCGTGACCGACCGGTTTTTCGAGCACGAGCAGCATTAGAGTGATGATGGGTGTAAAAAAACAATGAGCACGATTTTTCACGTAGATTGCACTATGCATACTGTACATTATTATATTAATGTACAGTATGCATAGAGATATGTGAAGTGAATTTCAAGTGCATATAGGCTAAATATTAAAAGGCCGCTTTATGAGTTCACCTAAAATAAAAGTATTCATGCAGAACAGTCAGTTTTACTAGTTCACCGGTTGTTGTTTATGAGAAGTGATAGAGGAAAGCTCATGACGTCCCTAAATTAAAATCCAATTTAGTCAAATTATCTGTGCAGATGAGTGAAAAGGAGATATATTCACCAGACCAAAGGTAGCTTTCAATAAAATGGGTCTCATATATTAACTGTAAAGCATGATGAGGAAATGGTCAGAAATGGTTTTCAAAAATCCCATTAAAACTTTGAGCGAAAACCCTTAAACACTCTTGCACAGAGACGATTTTCATGGACCGGTTTTCAGTTTGTGTTATGCGTATAAGGGGGTGATGTTGTTTACTACCAGTGGTGTACTTAACCTTTCCCACAAAATACACTGATACTCATCCAGATACGTTCAACAAGCTGGCAGTTTCATTTTCCCATGACGTCATCACTAAATATAGTTATTATTGTGTTTTTTGTAATGGTAGACAAAGTGTTTGTGGTTTGGTAATAGAGCAGCAGCTATTGGGCAATGCTAAGAAAATGCAAAAAGCACACCCAAGATAGAGCAATACTTTTTAATACTTAATAGTTTTTTTGTATTCATATGCAGGACTCACATGCACAACAGTGTGTCAGTGCTGTAAATGTTACGCTTTTCTGCTGGTGAGCACTTGTTATTACACAATGAACCATCTGAATACACCAACAATGGCAGTGAAGAAGAAGAAGGCCGCATTCAGGCTTATTCAGTTATCACTGTCGGGCCTTGCTGGACATGTAACCTCTAACGCATCTTAATTGTTGCAAACAAGCTAGACTCAAAACTGAATGTTGTTCCCGGTTAAGCATTAAATTTGAACAGGTTCAGTAGATGATTTCATTTTGATGTCATCCTGTAGAGATATTTCCTAAAACAGTTATACAGAATGTAAAAATATGTTTTGACAGTTTGTCATTACTTAAACCTCATATGTAAAAAACAATTTACTCAGTCTTGCTAAAGAAAAAGTAAAGTTCTGTATGCGTGCAACTGAAGAAACTTGTTTTGAGTCTGTGCTGAAATCATATTCAATCAGGTCATATGTATATAAGAAAAATGTCCTGCCCATAGTTTGAACTGTACATGAGGATTGACGTTTTATACAGGATCTGTCTCTGACATGTGTAGTGTAGAGACATCCTGATTCATGTGTAGGTTGCGGGGAAATTTCGGCACATAATTGATTTGTCACTTTATTACAAAACTGATACAGCAGTGGTTTGTGTGTGGGTGAACAAGCAGGTAAACCCACAGTGTGTGTGTGTGTAAGTGAGTTCATTGTGGAAAGCGTAGTGACAGTTTCCGCACAGTTTTGGTGAAAGTGTCTGATTTCGGTTTGGTTGTCCTACTAGACTATAGATTGTACATTTTTATTACAATTGTAATAATTTTAAAGATTTTAATCCAATCTTGTCTATAAGTCTATGAATGATCAGGTTACCTACAGTTTAACTACATTATACATGTTTTAGGGTTTACATCATTTTATCTTGTTCAGTCCGTAGCTGGTTTCCTTTTTGTTTTTGATTTTCCTTTCCTCAAAATCTTCTTGCTGGGATCTTTGAGTACACATAACCAGATTAACGCAATCATGCTTTTGTTTCTTTTGTTCTCCTGCAGCAAATCTGATAGTTTACAAAAACTGGTTTGTACTAGTTCATAGACTGTTAGTCAGTGTGTTCGTTGTGTGTTTCTGTCAGAAGCTACAACGTCAGCATATACATATACAGTCCATACCTTTACCGTATAAACCTATGTGACTGTAAGACATCAATATTTCATCTCATACAACCCCTTAACCTACTCCAAGGAAAAGTGCTTGTTCAGCACTTTTAAGTAGCTGAAACATTTTAATTTTAACTGCATTTAATGACACTCTGACGTAACAGGCGATAAAGGACAGATTTAAGGCTGATGAAAGTGTAATGGGTCAAGGTGTTCCAACTCAAGGTTAATCAGTGATGTTTCTATGAGTACAGCTTTCACTGACCTACATGCAAAACCACTCTAAGGGGCACAGAGGTTAAAAAAGGCTACGGTCTACAGCGACTGTGCACAATGAACCAAAGTGAGACTTCCTCTGCAGTTGGGGCGTCAATGTCTGGGAAATGTTTGTGGTTAAAAAAAAGAAAGGAGATAAAATATGCGTCATTTCTTGCGTATTTCCTGTCTAAAATTCAAGTGAATTGTTTTGCACTAATTTTACTTTTTAAAATATCAAAACAAACATTAGATGACATGTGTTATAAAAAAGAAATGCTATTTTTCTCATATATACCACGCTTATACAACAAAACAACTGAGATATCAGTGAGGGTGGTTTCTGTCTGAGCAGCAGGGTTGGAAAAACCCCAGACTATTCTAATAGTTGTCAAACTACGTCTTTATTGATATATAAATTTATTGGCAATCATGACTTTAATGCATTACTTTATTGGACTTTGATGTCATCTTGTGATGTCGCACCCTTTGTTCTAAATTGTCTGGTATTGTCGTGTGGCTTATTTCGTGACACGTGATCGTCTCCTCCATTATGTGCATAATGCCTGTATGAATGTGCAGAAACATTATGGATGCACAC